CGCAGCTGGTCGACCTGCCGCTTGGTAATGGCCACCGAGGCATAGGCATATAGCAGGAGGAGGTCACGGATCGAAGGCGGTAGGCTCAGATGGGAGACCAGGTCCACGAAGGCCATTGTGTAGTCAAACTACCATGCGACCCACGGCACCCAGCTCGCGTTCTCCTGGAAGTAGCCGGAGTTGGGTCCCAAGGAAGCGGCGACGTGGGAGTAAGCGGGGGTCGGAAACCCACGTGACCTCGATAGGTCGGTCAGAGAGGCACTGGTTGAAGCGAAGCGCCTGTGCCCGCAGCCACTGTTTGGCAGGGATGGGGTTCATACAGAAAGGACTCGGCACAAAGGCCGGAAGTTGAACCACTCAGTGGTTCTGGGTTGTGCCAAAGTGTTGGCGTGAAGCAAACAAGATAAAGGGGGTGCCAAGGGTCGCACCTAAAATAGCCGCTCCCACTTACCACCAAACTCCTCACCAAAACCCAAGGGCCAGCTTGACCGGTCCCCTTGGTTGCGTCCAAGTTACAAGGCCCAACCCAACTGCCCTTGGATCCGCTAGGCAGAACTGACCCCAGGTACAAGGGTGACAAAAACCGGCTTATGGATAGCCCCAAACTATCCACGAGGCGGAACGGCCCGAACTGGTTTGGCAAATTTTTCAGGCTTTGGAAATTCGGTTTAAGGATCGCAAGTGCTAATGAGAACTAGTCCAGATCAAACGCCATCTTGGTATGATGATTGACATGCGGGCCTATCGTTTTTATGTTCCGCGGGACAAGTCGGCGTTACTCGCCGAACGGGCCTGGGTCCTTCGGGTCCGCCGGTGGGTGGTGGCCCACGATTTGGCCCGTTTCTGTGGGCAGGCCATTTTTATTTACTTGGCCTTCCCACTCGCCTGCTTTTTTCTTCAAGGCCTTTATGACATCCTCCGGCCAAAGCGATCGTGGCGGGATCGTCTTCGGTTGAACCCCCAAGCCTATCTAGATCTAGAAGTTTGGGTCAACATTCACCGTTGTGAAGGCCGCCCCCTCAATCTGGATGCCGTGCCATTTGTGGGCACCCTTGCCACGGATGCTTCGTTGAGGGGCTGGGGCGCCACTTTCACGTCCCCTTATTCCGATCAACCACGGTTGGCTTGGGGATTTTTTGACCGGTCGTTGATGCACATCAATGTGCATGAAATGTAGAGAGTGGCCTTGGCCATTCGGGCCTTTTCTCCGGCTGTTTCCCCCTCGATCTTGGCGCGGCTGTGCCTGCTAGTGGACTCCAGGCTGTCCTGTTTTGTATCCGCAGCATGATGACGGGATCCGAGCAACTCCGTGGGCCCCTCCGCCAACTGCAGCGGTTCTGTTCGGCCCGGGCCTTGCTTCTCGATCCGGAGCATATCCCGTCCAAGTGCAACACCATCCCGGACCAATTGTCTCGGGTCCAGGAGGGCGAGAACTACCAGCTCGATCCAGCGATTTTCCGGACCATTACACTCCGGTTTGGGGAGTGGACAATCGACAGGTTTGCTTCCGAGCGGAATTCCCTTTGTCTGGCCTTCAACTCCCGGTATCACGAGCCCCAAACTATGGGGGTGGATGCCTTCCTTCAAGACTAGATGGGCGCGGCCAACTAGGCCAATCCGCCGTGGTCCTTGCTCCCGCACCTCACGGCCTTCCTGACAGAGCATCTGGTAGTGGAGGCCATCGTGTTGGCGCCAAACTGGCCATCGGCCATGTGGTTTCCGCGGCTCCGCCGGCTGGCTTCGCAGGAGATGATGATTCCGCGCCGCCCGGGCATCTTCATTCCAGGGCATCCGGCCCTTCCGGCCATTCTTCCTCCCCCTTGTTGGAACCTGCGGGCGTTCCACATTCAGCCGTAGATTCCGACAACGAATCTGGCGAGGTGAACCCCCATTCTCCTCCGGGATCGCCAGTCACGAACCCCCTCCCATTGGAGGCTATGCTTACCGACCACCCCCTCCTCGGGTGCGACGTCGATGGGCTCTCGTCGTTGGATCACTTCTGGATGCCGGCCCTGTTCCTGTCATTCTACACGGAGTCTACCCGGAGATCGATGCACTCCAAGTTTGCCAAGTTGAGTCCTTCTGCAAGGCGAACGACCTCGTGGCGCTTCCCGCATGGCCGTCTTCGATCTACCTCTACATCTGCTTTCTACGGGAGGAGGGCCGGGTGGGCGTCCGCAGCCTGCCCCAATACCTAGCTGCGATCTCCATGGTACACCAGTCCATGGCCCACGTCCACTTTTCGGCGTTCGATCCCGTCACCTGGAGGCTCACCCGGGCGTGGAGGGGCGATGAGCCCGAGCCCGCCCATTCCCACCGTCCGGTGCCCATGGAGGTGGCGCGGGCCGTCCTCGACTTCGGCCTCTCTACAAGGGATCTGCGCCTCCTCCGCGCAGCTTGTTCCGTGACCTTAGACTTCGTTTTCTTCAATCGAGCGCCGAGCGGACACCTAATTCTGCTCGCAGACATCCGCCTCGAGAATGGCCTACTCGTCTTTTGGAAGCAGCGGACCAAGAACAGTGCCAACACCGACCCGCGCGTGCGCTGCTGCTCTTGGTCACCCTGCGGTGCGCTAGTGGTCATTAATCTTTTCCTTCGCTGGTCAGCGGCCCGCAACAAGGCGTGGGTGGATGCCGGTGCCTCCCCGGCCCATTTCTATACCTTACCGGGGGAGGCATATCCGTCCACGCAGACGGTCTCCAGCTGGTTCCCCGCCCTCCTCCGGGCCCTCCCCTCGCACCAGCCAGAGGCCTTCGATCATCATGGCCTGCGTGCGGGCGGAGCCAGTGCCTGCTGCTCGCTGGAGGTGCCGGAGGGGCGCATCTGCGCGTGGGGCGAGTGGCAAAGTAACGTCATGTGGAAGTACATCAACGTGTACCAGCTACCGTCTAAGTGGGACTATTGGCTTTTTGGTTGGATAACCATTACTGCGCATGATCTTCACGCCCAATACGAGCATCTCTTCTTCCCCGGCGGGGCGTCCTTGGCCCGAGTATGACCAAGGCATGACCACGCCTTCGCTCCGGAGGAGCTGCACCATGCCTCAGTGTGAATGGGCACATTTTCAAGTGGGTCGCCAATCGGGTCTTGTACTAGTGAGGTGATGGACACCAAACTGTGTGAGTGTAATGTATTGTCGTGTGGGGAGCACGGGGGGGGGTTGAAGGAGACCGGTATGGCAGAAAGAAGAAATGCGACAGAGGGCCATTTTTGCCCATTTTGTTTGCTCACAACCCTTTGTTCGATTCAGCCAATCAGATCTGATTTGCACGTGCAAACAAAAGCAAAATGAAAGAAAGGACGGGAATACACAGAAAAGACATAAGTGCTCCTTCCTCCACCTGGAGCTTATTTTGCCTTTCGTCCCATGGCATATCACCTGGGTGTTTCAAGCAGCCTGCTTGCACCAAAGTATCAGAGTGTCTTGTAGTGGAGCACAGAAAATTTGATGCGTTGGGAGTCTCCTTTTGGGACTGACTGAGGATAATATCCTTTGCATATTATACAGATCTTGTGGTGCGCCTGCATCGAAGATAAAAAGGAGTGCAAACATGACAGCTTAAGAACATTCATCTTGTATTTTCTTTGCCCTGCACGCTGTTCAAGCCGCAGCCATGGAACAATTGTAAGGCACCAATGTGCCAAACGTCTCAATTTTAACAGGTTGCGAGCTGGCGAGGCGGTGCCTTTCAAAAATCAGCATCCCCATGATCGCAACTCAGGCTCGCCAGTTCAACGTTCATACCCCGTTGCTGAAACATCCCTCTTGCAAATGTGGTAAGAACTAAACTTCTTGTGTCACGCTTGCCTCCAGTATTACGTCTTGCAACAATCCTTCTAATCAACGGTATGCTATAAATCCTTTGGCATGTTTTGTGCAATGTACATCGCCAAACTTTTTTTCGCTCGACATCGCATTGTTGGGGAGGAGGTAGGGAGGGAAAGGTGCGGCTGCAAAAGCAGGAGAGCAGGCTGGTCGTCATGCTACTCACACAAAATGACACTTAAGAATGTAGACTTAACAAGGCCCCAAAATATGAGCCAGAACCCTGTGCTTGAGAACATGATTCACGGATTTGGTTTCTCCTGAAACAAAAGAGCTGCATGAAACAAAGTAGAAAATTCCTATAAGAAATGCCATGCCAAAAGAGTGGGGCATCATTGAGGGCGGGGAGATATTGAGCCGGCGCTGTTGCTTGACCTCATTGTGCTCGAAGTACGGCGAATGAAGTAAGCACTCCAACGGAACATCAGGGCAACCTCGGTGCCCCGGACAGATACCACGATCCCTCAGCCAACTTGTCGCCAAGAATTGCTAAGCCAAGCAACCTGGTCCAGCCGTGTCGTGCCGTACTATACACAAGCCTTACGCGATTTGAAAGCTAACTAAGTTATCTCTTCGTCCTCACCCTAGCGCATATCATGGCCGCCATCGCTTCGAGATGAAAAAGTACAACGTTGGTGGCAGCAAACTTGAAACTTGCTATCCGCATCTCTTGTGAGCATCCGCCAAAAGCTCCATTTGTCGATGCCCACCTGTACAGGGGCGGCATGACAACCAGGTTTATTAGCAGCAAAGCGAAATTTCCAAGGGAAGGTATGGCCTTGCAAAGGCAACATTGACGAAGATGATCCACATTGAGACACAATGTCAACTTCGTACAGTGCTGGAACAAAATGCCACGCATTGTCGTCTGGACAAGACCAGTGCAGCAAGGCTGGGTTTCTCCACTAGCACATCGAATGCAATGGCAATGGAGCTTCATTGAAAAGATCCCAGGGCCTGCGCTGGCAAGCAAAATGGGGAAGAAATCGGAAACAGCTCCATTCCCCGTGCAGCCACTTGCATCAGCGGCCTTGCGCCCAGCAGGGCCTGTTGCAAAATGTACGGGTTGTGCTGAAACATCAACTTGTCCGCATTTGGCCCTTTTAAACCTCAACCAATGCACACATCTGGATCTAACCTGCAGAATCTGCACACCGCGACTCTCATGGCCTACCTAATTACCGTATGCATCGCATTCGAACTCAGACTTTTGCTTTGGGCACTTGTTGACAGCGCGAAGCAATTCCTTCTTGAGCACGGCATTATCTTCGTGCAGAAGCCGTATGACGTCCTTTCCGTAAAAATCCATGCCACAGGTTCCTGAAGGTCACATCGGCGTCTCAACGTCAATTGATCTCATCCGAATATCATCCCGAAAGGTCCCAATTTGTACGAGCGATCATATTTGGCTGTCAGCAATGGGCTAACATGCGTGATTGCGAATGCACAATATGATCCGTGAAAAAGGCATGGCATGTTGATGCACAACTTTACCCCATCGAACAAAATGTAAACGAGCAATGCTATTGATGTTGCGGGAAGCTAGCAAAGTTGATGCCAGTTATGGATGTGCCACGACCACTGGAGGCCGTACTCTCCAGACCACAAGGGCTGTCGTGTGACGACTCGTCCGGCGGAGTACCAGTCATTACCTCCTGGGAGAGCTTGAAAGATCCATTAACAATTCCGATTTCCCACCATTCCAAACTCTATAGTTCCAATCTCACGATACTTCGATACGCTGGTCCAGGTGAAAGTCATCCCAGCACGCGATGGAGGTACACAACTTTGGCCCAGTTCCCCAGATGGAACAATTAACAAGGGCGCACGATTTTGAGACACTTAACCCAGTTTAATCGCTGGCCCCACATGTGCAAAGTGCAGACATGACAGCGTTAACGGCATCGGAATAGCGCCATTCCCTTGAGACATTACTAAATAGCGATCCAGATTCCGACACGGTTTACCCACACTTTGGCAAAGTTCTCACCATCTGCGTGGGGCTCGCAGGGGGTGTCGCATGATTTCGAGTCAAAGCATCTGTGCAGCTGCAGCTGGACTTGGCAATGCTGCGATGGAGGTGGGTCGATGAACCAATTGATGGGGTCGCTCAGGGGCACGTAGTCGCACGTGCCGCCTTCCCCGGGCGTGCAGAAATCGTCGCACTCGGTCTTGCTTTGGCACTCAGAGAACTTCTCAAAGGCGTCCCTCAGGTCGGAATTGGCTCCGATGTCCTGTTTCATGGCGACAAGCGTTCGAATGGCAGATGAAAATTCAACAATTTTGACAATTCACGACTTGTGTTTGAATTGCGTGAAGTGCTTGAAATCGTGCTTTGACAGTACAATGTCAGGTTAGTTGTTTAATGCACTGCCAATATGCGGTTTAGCAAGCGTTTATCATAATCATAGTAGCATGATCCTGGCCGTTTGTGTGGTGCCGTGACTCGCCATGGCGACATGCCCTCGGTTTCACTTGACTTCGAAAGGACAAGATGTGGCCTCGCGCCTTTGAAGGTGATGGCGGGCAATCAAAAGTGCAAGATCGCGCGGTGTTGCGCATTCGCGCGAGTGTGACGCTCGTGCGCCACTCTTGTAGGAAGAGGCCCCTCGGGGTTGGCGAAACGCCGACGGGGAAGCACAGTTGCGATGGGATTCGCTGGAGTGCGTTCACTACACTACGGAGCTGCTCCTCTTCACCAGTATCGATGTTCTTTCAATTTGCCAAGCTCCGTACCTTTGAGTCAATTCGAAACTTTTGAGCTTGGTACACGTTACGTGCCCTTTTCCGCGGTGTCGTCCACAGGATCGGACGATGTCACAGTGACAATTCCGTGCTGCCTTAGCAGGACGGGGTCTGCGCGTAGTACACACATGCGTCCAGGACCTGTCCTACTACGACAGCACGGAATTGTCACAAAAATTCTATTGATGCGCGCCGTTGACATTTCTTGATATTTGTGCGGTTCAAATGCTGTCCGTTTGCAGAGATGATCCACTGAAACGGCGAGTAGCAAACGCCCTCACAAAGACAGTGCGATTGAGGATTCATTACCTCTCCCGGTGGGAAACAGGTGCATCAGATCGTGAACGTTACCTTTGCAACTTCATTGAAATCTTCGGTACACTTTCCGGCACCTTTGTTCCTGCAATTTCGTGGTGAAATTCAGTCACACATCATATAAAGTCCTAATGCTCTGGTCGCATACAAGCTCGATCAGTCGCCTCAATGGAGGCCACAGTGGGCGGTCCACACAATGTCGCAATTTGACAATGACAGCTTTGCATTGTAGAAATTGGCCGCTTTGATTCAGTAATGACACCACTCGGGGGCAGCGCTGCCACCAAACAGTGCTTCGCAGCACAAGACAGCAGGAAATTCTTCTAGCCTCTCTTTAGCACACAAAATTCATACGCACTGAGATCATTCGACTTGCCCAAATAAAAGATTGTGTCACTGTGACAGCCTCGCCAAGATGCCGCGCAGATGCCACATCTGCTTCCCGTTCAACAATGAAGGTCAGTTCCAAGGGCTCCGCTGGCCAGAGCCTAGCATGCCAGAGTCTACGCTTGCATCACGCAACATCGCCAATCAGCAATACTGCTATTCTCAGACAACAACCCAACACTTTGTATTCGCATTCCAGCTAAATGATATTGACTGCGAGATGGTGGCTCGCTGGTAGCTGGACAACGCTGACGCCAGACCAGATTTGTATAACTACAAACTCGAGGCATGAAAATGCGTGCATCTGCCAATGCACTGCGGTAACGGAACCAAGCTGAGCCGCCTTTCGTGCTTCATCAGGACACGAAATTTATATGCGTGGTACAATTTGTTGCGGTTGTGAAATTCTGAAAAGCATCATTTCATATCTTCGCATACAACTACACGTGCAGATCCAGAAGCTTGCACGCCATCATTCTCCACCTGGTGAACAGTGCATGCCAATCACAGTTGCTCACTCACCAATTGCACCCTGCTATGACCTCGCATTTCTCCTGGTTGGTGAACTGGTTGCACAGGAGGGCCCTGTAGAGTGTGAGCCACTCTTGTTGAACACAGTCTTGAAGGTAGAACAAGTAGTCCTGCCTGCAATCTGATCCATACCTGCCAGGTGGAAGGCATGTGTAATTTTCAGAATGCTGTGCAGCTGCACATGTGCAATTGTCTCAGATGCCAATGTTTTGATTCCGCGTCGGACGGTGGAGCGACGACACAGCCCTAATCAACCAAAGTGGCGACGGGAGGATGTCTCAGATGGAATAGCTCCAGCTCAGCTAAATATGCTGCGGCCTGGCCCCATTGTACTTCGAGAACAAGCTGGGAGCCACGATGCCATGGCGGAATGAGCGCCCAAGCCGACATGATGACATCTCATCGGTCTTGCTTACTTCTCCAATACCCAGATCCACAGCAGCAACCCTGCCATATGAATGCGCACGCAACCGATTCACCAAAGGGGCCTCTGTCGCATGTTTTAAAACAAAGCTGTTCACAAAACAACCAGCAACACGCTGGCCTATAAAACAATCCACGAACCACATGATTTTCCCAGCGAAATCCCAAAGGGAAAAAAGTTTAGGGAGTGGGTTCCACGAGCAGGGATGGTTCCATATGATCATCTTGCCTCTTTCTGTCACGGCAGAAAGGGAAGGCAAATTATACAACAGGATAAATACGGACACCATTGGGTGACATTCGCCGTTGCGCATCAATCGCAATCATCAATCACGATTACCGACGCTCACCACAAACAATGCAGATTCGACTGACAGTCAGCTTGATCCACCACGTGGTTGCTGCAAACCTGCAAGGCATAATGCCGGGACCGTCAATCTGCGTCGGGCGGTCCCTGCTAAATATTGGGCAGCTGTCTACAGTACACTTTTCCTCATGAGCATACTTTCGTCCCTCGCAATGACTTTTTCCAGTTGCAACAAAACACACCTTAGGGAAGACACTATGTCAAAATTGTTGCGCTCAGCATCATTTTATCGGGGACAAAATCAAAGTGTAACAAAATCGGGGGGGCAGCAGACCTGTGATGCTAAGAGATTATGTGATTGCCACAAAATCGACTTAGGCTTGAAAGATACCCCAAAGCTGCTGAAAAGTGGCAACAAACGTATGACCTGTCTCAAAACTCCCCATTGGCGATCAGTTTTCACAAAAGGCCCCAACAAATCTCGATTGGCGGCCTTCAAAACTGCACCCCATCATCTGCTATGGCATTTTTGCATCTCAGTTTTCAGCCATCTAAAATTGCTGCAGTTTTAGCTGTTTGTTACTTCAGAACACAATCAATTGGTACCACATCATTACGTAACGATGCTGAGTCATCCTGACTTCAGAATAAGGATTGACGCTGGGGTGGTGGGGTGGGGAGGGGTGGGGTGGGGTGGGGTGGGGGAACAAAATCAAAGCGTAACAAAATCAACATAGTGCCTTCCCTAAGCAGTCCAAATCAAATCCATTTCAAATACGGGAAGGTTTTTTTCCCCCAGAATGTGGGTAGAACATGGCACCCTACGTACACGGGTTAGAATGGGTCCGATTTGGATGTCCTTTCTTCATGATATCGCGCTCTGGACATGGCACATGACACGCATGTGCAGCCACGTGCCTTATACTGCCTTGAAGTGCAAGATATGCGTTTTGCCACGTTTGGACAAATGCAGGTAAACGTAATTACGTTTACCTCCATTTGGGCAAATGCAGGTAAACGTAGTTACGTTTACCTCCATTTCCCTGTATACAGGAATCTTCGAGAAGCCAGTGAAGGCTCTTCAAGTGAATTCTCAGGGTCAGAACTACAGAGTGGACCATGCCTCGGCGTATAAAGCCAAAAGCACCCTGCCGTTTTAAGCCCTTGCAAAGGTAGGTGCAAGGCGCAGCTGCAAGCAGACCAATTGCGACAAAATGAAGTAAAAGATTTGAACCACGGATTGTTTATTCACCGCACAAATTATATGTATGAATAAAGCGCCCTTTGGATTGAAAGCCTTTGCATTCTAGATCAAATCGGTCCTGGATTGCGATATGAAGATCTGCATCAGAACTGATACCAGACGTCACGTCGTTTAACCAATCCAGTGCCTTCGACAAGGGAGGCGCTCACCACAGAAGCCAGGATGTAGTTCGCAGTGTCGACGTCGTGGACTTTTCCAAATGTGTTCACCCTGCACTCTCCAGCTACCCACGTGCAAGCCGGCGCAGAGTCGGAATCTTGCTGCAGCTTTCGAACGAACAATTCCTGTCGAGACGGTCAAAGGTTGGGAGCCGGGGAGGCAACAAGCTTGTTGCCCTTAATGGCCATGCCGAATATTCGGCTGCACTGGCTCAGTGGCTCACCCAGGCATCGCCATTAACTACATATTAGCAATGAGGGAGATATGCACAGGCCTTTTGATAGAATCATATACCTCTTCGTAGTGGCCCCAGTATAGTCTGCATGCATCGACGCTAATACCCACGGAAAATTGGCAAGAATTCAGCAGAGCGCTTTGCATCCGACATACGATTTCAATTGCGTGCCTTCTTGTGTATTCTTGCACATTTGGGGGGCGGCAGTTACACCAACAGCTCCAGGAACAGTCAGATTTGGTGGCCGTGATTACAAGCACCCTAGCCAAATAGGTGTGTTCCCATTGCTTCGTTGGGATGATAGATGGAAAAAGTGTGACAGTATTTCCAGACTATGCAAGGAAACTTCATAGGTCCTTGACGGCTCGGTGCACGTTCTTCCAGAATCTGCAGCTTGCCTGCAGACCGCATGGAAGATGGCTTCAAAGTGATTGAAAAAATACATGCACGGCGCATGTTGCCATGGTCGTCACCTTTGCAAACCTCACCTCCATGCAGTCTCCATATTCACAGGGTCTTTGCTGCTGATCAACAGCCTGATTTGTGTCAAGCCAGAAACCAGTGTTGGCTTCCCCTTCAGCAGCCTGGGCAAATAACAGGGCAAGAAAGCAAACTGCGAGGCTGGACATCAACGCGCATCTGGTACCCTGCACACAGCCATCCAATTAGACAACTCTCGTTACGAACTTGTTATCGAAGTCCCATGGTGTGGCTCCAGCGAAACCACATGTAAATTGACATATTGTGATTTGGACAGCCTGCTTTGATATCTCAATAATTTGATGGAAGCTTGTGAGCGACATGTCATCGCAGGAGCGCTGACATTGTGCAGTTTCTTATCAGCAAACAACGTCAACTACCATTGATTTCGTTTAGAGCACTAAGCATTGATCCCTTCTTTCATCAGCTTCTGCAACTGTTACGCTGGGTGCAAACATACACTTTTAGTACAAGTCAACTGTGTGTGGTTTTATGACAACCATATGCAAACAATGTGAAGGCATCAGAAAGACTGACAATACCACCTTGGTACTTTCCACTGGTGATTTGTGGCTATTACATCTGACCCGTGTGAACGGACGTCCATTGCAAAATGCCTTGCTTCTCTGGCATTCAAATTCGGGATACTTTATCTTGCAAGTGCAGATCTGGAGTTCTTCAGCATGAAGTACTTCATGTACTGGCTGCTTGGCCCAGTTCAGACTTGCACAGGTATACGCTCTATCTCTTTTTGATGGCTCAAAATCCAGTCTGTTTATCAGCGAACTGGGTTGCAAGATAGCCAGCAACAAGAATATAACACGAGGTGTTTTCCATTCCAGAATATCAAAAGCTACGTAATGCAGGATTTAAAAGCATGAGAGCAACAGGAGTGGCTACTAGTAGCGCCTTTGCATGGAGCTCACGCGCTCATCTTCACCACATTAGGTTTTTCGGCACCTCAACCTTGCGCTCTTGCAAGATGGGGAAAGACGCCAATCAAATTTAACGTGTAGAAGGCTGGTCGCGCCTGGGGACTTATATCCGCCACCGAGACTCCAGAGCCGCCAGCAGGGCGCAACCGCCCTGCATTGGGCAACAGCTGCATCAGAGCCGCACTCCGAATTCTCTCCGCATCCCTTGACTTCGGCACAAAGGGGGCTATTTGAGCGCAACAAAGGGGTCACACGGGCGACCAGGATGCAGTTTCTTCTCTCATGACTCGATCCGCACGGACGCGCATGGGCATCCTCTTCATGGATCCGGGGGCGGCAATCGCATTTGGGCGTCCAAATCGCCGCCGTCGCCCACCATGCGCTCAGCGGGGGTGATTGGCCGCACCTTGGCTGCCATCTTCGAAGTCGGCTGCGCCGCGTTGCGCCAACCTGCGACGCCCCGGCGATCGAACTCAATCGTCCGCCGCAGTCCGCTCACGCCAGCAGACCACAACGTCGCCCAGCCAGCCCCCGAGGGGCGCACTTGTTAGCTGCGCGCGTCCCCACGACTGCGTCGCCCGCCAGCCGATGGCGCCGCCCAGGAAGTTTGATGAAATTTTCAGTCAGCCCCGGCGGTCCACGCCCTCCCTCCGGTGAAGCGGGGAAAGGCTGGCGGGAGCGCCGCGCAAGGCTGCAGACACCGCGGGGGCTCCCGCTCCAAGCCACGGAAGCCACCAGGCTGAGATCCCAGAGGCTGGGGTTCCCGCACGGCCGCCGTTGGAGTCTGGGGCGGATTCTGCAGCATGGACAACGACGCTATGCGTGGAGCAGGACAGAGAGCGGCGCGCGAAACGTTTGGATCGTTCGACATTCGACGCCGCAGGGCAAGTCAATAAGCCAATCGAAACCATTGCAACGACTGGGCGCTTTTCGATCCTCTCAGCCGGCGGTTGGCCACCTTTCGCCGCTGTTCGGACTCGGCTCCGGAGCCGAGGATCCATGGGCGGCGGATCCACCGTCCCCCGGCCCGCCTCCCTCCCTCGCGGCAGAACGGCCGACAACGTGGGACGGGCGCGGTCCGCATGTGCGCCCTTTCTGCAAAGGCCAGGCGGGGGCCCCACTGCCTGCGTTCCCATTCCACCTCCACCCGGCTTCAAAGGAGCCTCGCAGACGCCGCGGAATGGGATCAAGGGGCGCAGCGCCCTCAATTCCGACGGACAAAACGACACAGCGCTCCCGAAACCGTCGTCGCCACGGCTGGACTCGCCCCAGTCGCGCCCTATGGTTGCCCTCTTCACCATTTCCACTGCTTAGCGGCGAGTCGCTCTGCCGCTTGCGCAAAGCTGACGGCAGCTCGCCGTCCGGTGGGCGCACCTTGAGCTGCGCGCCCGCCCGCCCCAAAAGAGCCCAAGCGCCCGAGGAGTCGCGCCGGGCGCTCGTCAAACACCTGGGGAGGGCACGACCGCGAGGCCTCCGCGTCTCGCTGATCGAACCCCGATGGGACAGCTTGTCCCGCCGATCCTGATTAACGCGTGGGGATGGGGCTGTTGTGGTGGAACCCATGCACGGCGTACAACTGCTCATTGGTTGGGCTGCGCTGTCCAAATCGCAGTTTGCTTCCAATGTAGTTTGAAGCAACACTTCGTGGGCCGGTGGGCTAGGTTTCCCTCGTTGCTGGTGCGCCCAAGTACGCCCGTCCGCAGGCTGTGCGATGCTCGTTCTCGCCCTCGAGGGGCCTGGAGGACAACGTACCAGACACGTGATGATTCCATGGGGCTACTACTGTGCGGAGATATGCGGCCCACATGGAGAAGCCCATCGGGGTTGCCTGCTGGGAATGAAGCCCTTCCCCTAAACAATCTTTGGGACTAGTGGCTTGAAAATCACACAAACACTGCTAAATTTGCACCAGAACAATAATTCGCCAAATTCCTAATTTAGGACAGCACCATGGTTCTCCTTCAAGGTGTGCTTAGGGTCAACAGAATTCTGCAGCACAGATTCGAATCTGTAGCACTGATCTCCCCTCCCACCAGGCTTGGTTTTTATGGTGTAACACATTGTATTTACATGCATTTATGCGTTAAAATAATGGTTGTGTTTTTTCACATAAAACTCGGAAAATATGTACACACAGGCTCTCTATATATGACAATACATGTAGTCTCAAGGAGTCTGGGGATGGCAACCAGATGCGCTGGTGTGCGCAGGAAACGACCGTGCCTGTCATTGAACGAGTCCCTCCAGTGGCCGCCAATGTGAGAGAAATAGCCACATCTCTTTTGCCCACATGTGCCTACCACAGAAACGATCCCTGATCATGGAGAGACCGCGAGCCAGTCCATAAGCCCATAATTGCGAGTGCCATAGAAGTAACGTGAACAAATAGGTCTTGACATAAGGGAAAGGGAAAGATGGAGAATCCCCACAAGGGGTTCCACAGGCACTCCTTAGCTTGCTCTAAACTTGTTTTCCACATCACATTGGTATGACGAATTCGCAATTGATATGCAAAGATTGTGGGTGTGGGGCTCCTACCCTCTTTGAGCTGTGGACCCACCTCGCCGGGCACCTAGATCCTTACGGGGACCTAGGCGGGACAACCCCGACCTACTCTTATATCGTAAAATAATATAATCTAGTTGGAGAACTATTACCGTATCTTGGGCAGGGCATCCCCCACGCCAAGAGACCATCAGTAGGGTATCCCCCACAATAGGCCAATGTGCATAATAGCAATACTGCAAATTATTTGATGTCAATTGTGATGAGTAGAAACCATGGGGCATACATGAGGAAATAATCATGGGTGACATGTAAGCCACTCATCAAATGGATGTTGGGATGGTATTAATTAATAAGTTATAACTTAGACAGTCAGCAATTGTAACAACCCTGTGGTTTCTGGTGGGTCACGGTTGTCTCAAGCCTTCCACAAACTTCACATAATGAACAATGGTACAGGACAGTATGATGGCTAGAAAGTCTATCATAGTTTCGCCCCACACATGGTTGCAGATCTATACTATGAGTCGCTCTGGTAATTGACAATGCGATAACATGGTTTGTCCTCAAAGCCAAATGAGTCTACAATTGCGATATCATTTCCGCTACCTACTAGGTAGTACCTAGCGGAGACTATGATACAATGAGTGAGCATGGACATCTTCCCACAACGTCGATGCATCGCAGAGTCCAAGGCTATAGGCAGATGGCACGTGCACCGCTCCCGTGGTGGCCTTTTTTGTTGTGTGCTTGGGTATGTTTGAGAATAGTTCTTAGGATCGTGATAGGCATTCACCACAGAGCATCAATGACGTGGTTTTCTTCGTTGGAGCCGGCACGCGCCTGCCATCGCCCGGTCCACCCCTTACGGGTGACCTCGGATCTCTGCCCGATGGCATGCAGATCCGGCGTAATCGGGGCGCACGCTTGTTCGGAGTACGCAGCAGGGCCCGGGGCCACGGGGTCGCAAGGCCTGCGTCCTTAGGCCGGTGGCAGCAACGGTCATGAGACAGCGGGGGCGCGCGGTCGCCCCCGCGGGAGTCGGCAGTGAGCCAGGAAGAACAATTACAGTCAGACAATTCGCCCCTTGCATCCAAATACCTGTCCGACCGTCACACCTCCAAGTGTGCTAGTATATTAAGACACGACCACAATGCACTGTACAAAACGGGCCACCGGTCACCACCAAAACAGCTCCACAAACCCCCCGTACTCGGCCCCCATTATCCAGGCTGCAGTACAATGCTCTGCACCTTTAAGTCACTCATACATCTGCATATTTAGACAACAAAGACCAAGTGGTAAATCAAACCATTATGCTATAAATATGGAGCTGCACACCATTATCTAAAGATAATGAGAAAAATAATGGTCCACTACATCTACCCCAAGTGTTTCCACAACAGTACTCCCCCCTCGGGGTAGTTTTCGCCCTCGAAAACCGAAGTCCTCTTTTGGCTGCCCAGTTAATGCACCAACTATAAAGTCAATACCCCACTGGTTTGTTTTTATATAGACCACACTCCCATTTTTTTCATCTAAGGTGTGGATGACACACTCCCTCGAACATCCAGGAAAAACTGCCTCTCATTGTTAGGTTAGGGATTCTCGTCCTTGTCTTCCCTGTCATTGAGATATCTTAGTACCATTGCAACGACCTTGCATATAATTGGTTCTTTATCCATAGGTTCCTCTATTTCCTTGCCGGATTCCACTGATCCCCACTCCATAATCCACTAAACAACTTGGAGCCGCCGGCACTCTATACCAATGGATGTAATACATAGCCGTGAAAAAGCCGTTTCACCTAGTAACCGCCAATCAGTTAATCACATATTTTTTTCTTTTGCTATCAGATGAATTTCACATGGATGGACGTCTCTACCCATAGAAATGCAATGTACTCTGTCAAAAGATTTCCCAATGTATGACCACTGGGCTCCTTTCCTATGCATCTAAAGCCAAATCACCACCCTATCAACCGCCTGAGTCGATCTAAAAAAAAAATCAGAGACAATGGTTTGGCTTCACGCACCAAGCGTCCCATACCACTGGTGTATCACCCTCACCCCGTCTGCAACTCCTGTGACTCACAAAAAGGCAGATATCCACTATGATCTGGGGTAATGATCACCAAACATCTGCAATCTGAATTGAGGATCCATCCCATGCTTCCACTGTTCCTCAAGCGATCCAACACTGCAAACGCTCAATGAGTTTCCACCTTGGCTTATTACTTCTGTTGCATATCCATAAGCCACCAAGTTGTCCAACAATCATAATGCCCTCTGTACAAGTGCGTTAGGTAGACCACCATATAACCACATACTCTACCTAGTGTGTATCATGTTTGGCTCTAATTTTAGTTTCCATTTCTCTCCATGGTTACCAGTTTTCTGCTGAACTTCATTTTTGTTGCTCTTGCCACAAGAGCAGTCCCAGAACTGAGCTGATCCACAACAACCCAGCTACCTCAAAACTTTTATCAGACCAACTCTATTCATTTTTTTTCCACTAAGGTCCGATACTTTTCCGGCTAAGGCCAATTCGCTCGATTTTGGTACTGAAGTATTTTTTTTCTCCGACCATCATCAAGACTTCCTCAATTTCGATACAGAAAAAGTCACCATTTCTTCGACCGTTATCAAGGTGAAATTGATCATATGTCATCCAGGTTTCTCCCCCATGCGACCACCCATGTACCAAGTCATTGAGAAACTACTGGATTTAATATAGGTCATGATTCCTAAGCCCAGTAAACTGCCTTCTGAACCACTGATGCACCGCAGACGATTTCGGTCACCCCCTATTTTAAGCCCGGAGATCAGCACTCGAATGCATACGGCGCCTCCTATTATAATGCCGGGAGGGCGCTCGTGGCGACTTTCGGCATCCTCCTATTATAATGGCCGG